ATTTTCAAGAGCATCACTTAATCACTTAATATGACATTTCGACGGACTGTACTGTACGTGTTATCCATTCAGTTTTTGATAAACTTCGAAACTGGTATGTTGTTCGTAGGATATTACTAACGAAAGAAGGCTTTCAAGTTAAAATCGAGTCTTTTATCTTGAACGTTCGTGTTAAATCTATTTCAGAAATGAGAAAAACAATGGGCATGGTGAGGATTATTGTGGTAAAAATTAATTATTAAACATTTGAATCAAAATTGTAATAGATTATTATATACAATATAATGTAGTGTTTTATTTTATATTTTGGAGAATATTTTGTAGCTTTAAACATTTATGTAATTTAATCTCTCATTTTTAATCGTATTCGGATTTATAAAACTTATAGAAGGCTTCACTTATACGACATAAATAAGTTATTGGAGAAAGCCGTAAAGCGAATCATTCTATTACCCATTTGTTAGAGTAATAAATGTAGATTATTTCCTTCAGCACACAGTTTTAATTATATAATTCTGTAAGGAATATAAACTTAAATACCGCACTTTATATAGTCATAATAGAAAGTGTATTCCAGCGGTAACAAGCGGAGTTTTAAAGTAGACATGATAAAGTAATATTAAGTACAAAATTGAAGCAAAAATATAAATTCAAAAGTATTCAAAGTATTGAATTTAGTTATAAAAACAAATGCGAAACATTAATTTTGTATAAATTTAAAAAAAAACAAAAATCTAAAAGTAATTATTTTAAAGTTTACTCGCTTTTATAAAGTTAAAATCTCTACAATAATTAATTATAGAAAATGTAACTTCGTAAACATTATTGAGGATTAATGTTAAGCTTCGTTTTGTCAACAGCAGCAAAGATAAAAAGGAAAAACTTAAGTAAAGCTGAATATATCGAAGTATGCTGTCAATTAAACGAGATTTTCTTTCGACGTATTAAAAGTTTCTATAATATTTTAGAAGGAAAACTTTTATGCAGTACTTTAAATCTATTAAAGACACTACATAAAGATTTTGATTTGTTTTAAAGATTTATTTTTCCTATCATTTTACAGCATATTACTTAATTAAAACTTGAAAAATGGAGATAGTAATTAAATTAATATTATAAAAATATCAAAGACTTATTGAGAATAATTAAATTTATTATGGATTGAAAATCCTATAATCCATAATAACAGTCTGATTTTACTTTCTGCTGTGTCAGTAGTGCCAGTATTGGTACCACAAATAGTCAGTCCGGTAAAATTTTGTTTTTAATTTAATTGCACAAGAAGTGAAGCTTAATAAAATATTTTAAAATTCTGTAATAAAGATAAATGTAATTTTGTAGTTATTTTTAGACTAAATATGGTCTTTGCATTATCTGTGTTTTATTATAAACACCTAAATTGCCCGAATTTGATTGGGAGTTTCTTACAAATAAAGCACCTAGGGTTTAGTTACATTATGCATGTTTACTAGATACTCGCCAATATTTTAATTCGCGAAAGAGTGAACGAGTTTACGCACACCCACACACACACAGCGAGTACCAATTACACTGGGCTAATAAATTCACTTGCCAGGCACGAACTTTCGTGTTTTCGTGCTTGGCTAACAAGCTGGTGAGGAGGATTTTCCGGGTTATCTTCTCGTTATCTAACGTAATATGATTCAGTTTCCCGTAGACACCCCCCCCTAGACAGATCGCCACGTGTAAACAAATAAACCAAACCAAATTGCTTGCAATTCTCTTATTACTCGGTAGTAGCAGGGTACAATACGCTTCAGTGTTGCTATCAGTGGCGTAATTCCACTACGCATAGCTATTTTTAGCCCGTTTAATCGGCGTAATGATGCAGTGCAAAATTAATATAAAAGTAACTATAATCGTTGCAAAAAAGATTATTTTATGCACATTTCGAATTTTAACCAAACTATAGCGACTAAGAGAAAGGGAAATCTTTGATTAACTTTTTCATATGTTTCTCCTTCTCTTGTTTTCCTCCACACCATCTTCAAGTATTTTTTCTGAATAGAAACAAATATAATTTTCGCCTGAACTACTTTATTAAAAATCGTTACTTTAGAGATTTTCCTAGTTAGAGCGTAAAGTCGCAAAAAGAGTAGCTTGGTTTTCAACTTTATTCGCTCGGATAAATCGTCAAACCAACTTACTAGCCCAAATAATTACATTGAGCAAGTTTAATAGGAGCCAATAAATTCGTCGTGGAGTGGCTACTAAACTGGACTAATGTAATTGAGCATTAGGCATTAGAAAACGCGTACGTAATTGCGGGCATGATTATATTAAACAATAAATGTTTAGGATTGAAAACACACTTGATGGAAAGTATTTAAACGAAAAAAATATGGTACCGTATGGTATCATAACGTTTGTCTTTGGACAGTAATAGTCAATTTTTGTGAACATTATGTAGTAGCTCTGTACTTTAATTACTGTCTTCGTTAAATATTTATTCATTTGCATTTTTATGAATAAAATAGTTTTATAGTGCATAATTATATTATTTGAATAATTGATGCAAAATCTAACACCTTTGTTCCTACTTTTTTTTATAGAATTTTTAATTAAACATAAAAAATACTTAAAACTGAAAAAAAACGAAAGAAATGCGTTAATTTTGAAGAAAAAGCTTCAAAGATTATTTTCCATTGTCTCGCCTTTCCGCGAAATATGATGCATATGAGTAATTGTGTTTACAGCTGGATGACCTTGAGAACAGCTGGTATCGTCTTTCGCGGAACATTTTCATAAAACTTACAGGAGGCGAAGGGTTTATAGTAGGGTGAATACTTGCTGGCCGTATATTTTTAAATATTTTTAAAAAATTACGTTTTTTATTGCGATTTACGACCCCCGACTTAATTAAACGTATATATAATAAAATCTATTAATTAAAAAAATTAAAAAACTATAGGAGGTCGTTTTTGACATCAGAAACTAGCTTTAAATAACTTTACCGAAGTAAAATCCGTGCACTACAACTTTAGAACGATGAATGAAATTTGATTAAAAAAATTCCATTAAAAAATAATTAAGCGTTAATCATGCGTCATTAAAGGTAGATTAAAATCGCGATAAAAATTTTTCGCGCGGGAAAAAATTTTTGAAAAAATTTGGAGACTTAAAAAACATCCAAAAAATTTCCCAGAGGGTCTAAAAATTCGTTTATTTGTAACGCTATGGAACCTGCTCGAGTCAGACTCGAGCGTGGGCACAAAGGTGTCAGCTAATCATTTTTCGCACTTATGTACGTAATAAATTTTCCACGCTATTTAAAATTTAGCAAAATAAAATAAAATAAAATCCTTTTTATATTTGTTAAACAATTTTCTTCTAAAAGTAATATATTTTGGAATATTTAGAAGGAATTTTTGTTTTTGCAGTTTTTATAGACACAGAAAGTATAAGCTTATCGTAAATTTTCGATTATACTTAGAAGGGTTTTAAACAACTAAAAATATAAATATTTTTAGTATAACTGTAAATAAACCAGTAACGAGTTGTTCAACTTTCCAAGCAACATTTAAAATTTTGGTAGCGCCATCTATTATCATATTTTATTAAAAAACTTTTATATTTTTTAAATAAAAATAAAAATGGTAAAAAGCTTAATTTTGAGGGTAGGAATGAGTTTTATAAAAAATTGTAAATGCTAATAACGAGTATAATCGTCATTAAATTTTACCCTACTGGTGATACACACTTATCATTATCTCCTCACCTCCTGGACCTTTAACCACCAAAATTTTATAGCATCAATCCCTCTAATAAACAAACCATCCTGTAAAATTTCAAAAATTTTCGACAAAAATCACGGGAGTTATTAGGCTTCAAAAAGGGTGAAGAAAATCGTGCCACTCTCACACATTAACAGAAATTACAACCCCCGAATTCTTTTGCATTTTTCGACGTTTCAAGATGTTTAAGTACAAAAATGTAAAAAATCTTGAGAGGGGATCTTTTTTTCCGGATCGCGAAAGTAAAAAAGTTAGAATGCAAACTTATTTATGAAAGGAAAAGAGAAGTTTAAGTCATTTATAATTAGTAGACAGCAGACATATAGGCTCTCAAAAGTGGCGTTTTAGGCACTTAAAATAAGCTCTTAAATTGCGTCGTTTAGACTTTATAAACAAAAAATAGGCGGTCAAAATTTGCATAATAAACAATTAATCTACTTATCAGAACGATGAATTTTTTATTTAACATATGTATTCTAAACAAAAATGCACGTATTCAGATGATGCAAACATAAAAGTAGACAAACAATTATCTTTGCAATATTTATTCGCTCTGTTTCCCAAAGTTAGCTTCATAAAACGGTATATTACAAGCACTTTTTTCAAATTTTCAATAGAAAAGTTGCAACGTTTGTCACTGAGAATTAATTTATATTCAGAGAAAGAGCATATAATCCGTTATCTTCAGTAGATGTGGAACACATCTACTGAAGATAACGAACAATATTTCAACCTTGGAAGAAGATGAACTGGCAATTGACTTTCAGTTTTGTTCTTCTTTCCTGCCAAAATATCAGCCACAATAAACAAGCACTTTACTCCAAGTCTCTTTTGAAACACTGCTCTCAACACTTTCTTCACTGTTTTTTGCAGCAGTGCCTGGTGCATCACAAAGTTTCTGCTTTGCTCTGTTGAGGAGATCAATTTGTTCATATATAGGTTCCCCACTACTTTCAAGAGCAGTAATAGTATCTGCAATGAATGTGAAATAACACTTGATGTACTGTACATCAACATGTTCTGAACATAAATATCATTCAAAATTTTCTTGGCTATAGTTACACAAACTGCATTGTCCACTAAAGTGGCTAGAAGTTTTTTGATATCGAAGAAATGTTTATTGTAGTAGTTAGTAGAAAATCTTAGCCATGTATATGACAAGGAAAAAAATAGGCATTTGCCTAAAATCCGCTGTCTAATAATTAGTTTTGCATTTTCGAAAAACAATTATAATGTACGTACTGTACGCTCAAAGGAAGGATCAGGAACAAATGTGAAAAAGGCGACAAAGAAGCAAACAATACATAAAAGCTTTATTACTTTATTCATTTCTTACTTGAAGTACAGTAGAACTCTTATAATCAGACTCCAATCTTCTGCATTATCTGAGCGAACAGGTAAATGAATTCACTATTTTCTTATACTGTAATTCATAAAAAAAAACGATAACACGTATTACAAAATGATTTGTTTTTGTTCCATATAATTGCATATGACTATTACTCTAAATCGGATCTCTGTTATAAGCTCTACCAAATAAATATGCCGTAAGAAGTGCTTCATCCATTGGTTGAGTTAAGAAAAGACTATCGTTGTTGAAACTCCATTTACTATCATCCCCTAACCTTATTCCACTTTCCATTAGACTAGGATAAACGTATTTAGTTGTAAAGTTTGCCGTTAACTTCAGTTCTTCAAAAATGGTGAAACTTTTAGTGGGGAAAACCGAGCACGCTTCTCCTTTAAACGTATCACATCTAACTAAAGCACACACTTCTGTTGCCAGTACAGATTTTCTAATGTAAAAAGAACCGTTCAGAACAATTAAATAGTAATCTTCATCGAATGAATAATTCGCAATTTTATAACGGAGCGTGCAGCACAATCCGTCGTTGCACGCTTCGATCTTCCCCGCCGTTTTCTTCAGACGAATTAGAGTAAAATTTGAGAGACTCAATTCCAAACAACGATAGTCGTAAGGGCTTTTGGGTGGCCCTAGAATCTTTTCGGAACAAACGCCAGAAGAGAGATTATTACCTGGGTGATCTGCCCCAAACTCGAAAACTATAAAATTGTCGTCGGTAAGTTTTTTCACTCCTGGTCGAGGAACTCTGGACACACTCAATTTGGCTTTTCCATTTGGATTGTAAACGTAATGTGGAGAAATAGAAGTGCCCCTGTATATCCCACTACCAACGGATCCACTACCTGGAACATACTTGTTAGATACTATTAGATTAATATCGAATCGAAGCGACCAAGAGTACTGAATTTCTATGGAGAATAGACTTGGAAATGCATCTACCCACCACGAAGTGAATACCATGGAGTCGATCTTCCAACGCTCGATCAATTCAACGACTTCTTCCCACAATAAATCGAAACACACGACCGTTCCAAACTTTCCAAAATCTGTATCGAAAGTCACAAATTCTGGTTTTTCGAACACATCGATTCCGTCTTCGTTGTACAAATGATATTTATGATAACGCGCCGCCAATTTTCCCTTTCTGTCGAAAACCACGTTCGTGTTATACAAAAAAACTCCATCGGGAGGACAAACTCGTAATGAACTGTTGCAAGTTACAAACGTTACTAAATTAGATACTAAGAAAATATTGTTTTTTCGAGCCATACAACTAAGATCAGTAATTATCGAAGCGTTTTCGTATCTGTCGGGATCGGTACAAGGATTCCAATCTTCTTCGGTCGGATCTGGAACAAACTGAGCTATTCTTCCGAAGATTTCTCTACTCAGGAAAGGATATAAACCGTATTCGGGGAAAACGATAATATCTGCTTCCTAATAAATATAGAATCTGTAAATCATGTTTAGAATATAGGAATAACGACGAAGTAACTTACATTTTTAGCTGCTAGAACTGTCATTTCGTTGTAGATGAATAAATTTTTATATACAGTGACCGGAATCGGTTGTTTTTCGTCATATATTGGCATATATTCAAAAGTAGAAGCCGTGTAATAATCTACATAAGACGCTTCCACTGTCAATACACAGAACCAAAGTAGAATCATTTCTAAACCAACAGAGGAATATGATAAATTACTGTTATTTTGTTTTGTGATCTATGATAAAAAATACAATTAAATTTTACATTATAAGACAATAATCTTCAGATAAATAAGGTCAAAAACCAATTTATAATCAATGTTTTGATATAGATCAAATGTATATGTATATATATATATATTCATTCTACATTACACTTTGATCCAAATAATATTAATATATTGATATAACTTTCTTTTTACTTTCTCAAAGTAAATTGATTTTTATAATTTTCGTTGATCAAATTATTAATTAGTGTACAGTATATTAAAGCAAGCAAATAAGATCTTATCAAAATTATATTTATATATGTAACGTTACGCAATCTTGTATATTGAACATATGAACTTTAAACAGCGGCGATACGAAGGTTTGAGGAGGAAGCATCACATAGGGTTTTTAGTGTTGATGTGTATTTACTGTTTTAAAACGATCAAGATAGAGCAACTTCTAAATCTTATTGTATTAACTTTTCGGTATATTCTATAATTAAACATGTCTACTAACAATTCTATATATTAATAACTAGCAGATGAGCACGGAGTTGCCTGGGGAAAAATAACTACACGAAAGATTAAGATTAGAAGGGTTAGAAGTACGAAATAATCTATTAGATTATTTTGTACTTCTAACCCTTCTATTATATCACACTGTAGTATTTGATTTATATAACTACAAAGGTTACCTTACGTAAAGGTTTATCACACCGAGTGACCAATATAACTCATATAACCCAATAATCACAATAATTCATTTTATATATTATATGAAATTCTTGCAGTAATGGTATTCATTAATGCGAAAACATAAATTAATCCTACTTCCAATAATTTCCATAGTTTAAATGAAACATTTGTATACGTACTGTCCAAACCTAAACAAAAGACGAAACAAAGGACTATTAACCAGCAGCAGCACCACAGTTTCTAGGCTGGTAAAAAGAAACTAAGTGACTTTGATTGCGATGACTCACTATTGTATACCTGGCTGAAAAACGGACAGAATTAAGATTAAAAATGGATTTAAAATTTTTAATTCTAACAAAGAAAACACTTCTTAAATTCGATGTTCCAAAACAAAATGAATCATGACTCTGAAAACAGATTCTTCAAGATTCTGAATCAATAAAATAAAGTATATTATATGAAGCTTCTTGTTTTCGTATAGGTCAATTGTACTGTAATTATCTTATTTATAAATAATGTGTGTATCAAACAAGTGAAATAACGAAGAAATAAGAAAGTGAAGATTATATTCTAAGGAATGACGTGAATATCATCGTAAGAAGTGACGTACCATAACAGTCTATGCCAATCTACAATTAAATACATAAAGTGCGTTTATTTAATTGTGAAAATGGATTCAGTATATTGTAAATTTAATTTTCACAACCTTTTCATACTTAATCTTAAAATTTTCTACAAATGTGCAGTGTAGAAAATCATCAAACAGGGTCGTGGGTTTGCCGTGGACCAACGAGTTTGTCGCGTGAAGTTTCCCGAGTTTTCATCTCTTCACGTGCCTAACACCTAAACGCGAATTTAATGCTAAAATTCAGTCGTCGCACGAGGACAATAGGGCCAGGCAGGCCATTAAGGGTGGCATGGTTGACCGTTTAGGATCGCACAAAGTTCATCAGGACTTCACTGCTAGAATCTCGGAACTTCAATGCAAAATTAAAGAGCGGGACCTTGGACAGTTTAAATGCATTGGACGGCCTATGTCAGAGTCTCTATGAACACTACCTAAACAAAAATGAAGAATTAAATAAGCTAGAAGTTAAATTAGGTGATATCGAATCGAACAATAATAATAACAACGGCGACGAGAAAGAGAGATAAACTAGCAGGGTATTGTATTAAAATTCAACAACCTGCTAGTTTATCCGAAAGGAGAGAGAGAGAGAGATTAAATTTCTATGATGAAGAACCTGATGTTTTTAATGTTACTTTGTATATTATCACATTAGTGTCAAAGTGTGGGGTTTTGGCTTTCAAAGAGCTCAAAAATGTTTTAAAAAACCCTTGCAAAATTCGGTTTATATAGCCTGTATGTTTGTGTGTATTTCGGAGTCTATTTTGCATTATATTTCCGGACGAGATGAACCAAAACTTTTGGAATTTAGAAGGACAATTTCCATACATTGGTTATTGATGCTATTAAATTTTGGTGGTTAAAGAGAAAAGAGTAAAGAAACACAGAGGTCACGAATTATATCTTGAGTGGGCCAGACTTAACAAAAATTTTACTATGAATTAACGAGTGACATTTACAATTTTTTTGAAAACTCATCTCTACTCTTAAAATGAAACTTTTTGCCTATTTATAGTAAATAATAACGTAAAGATTATTTTAAAATAAAATCTCATAACAGATTGCGCTACACACAATTTTAACTTTGTGCTAATTGTCATAGTGTTCTTTAAACTTAAATACATGTATTCATTCAAATAAAGAAATTTCTCTATATTTCAAACTAATTAAACGTTATAATCAGCTTCGTTAATCTCGAGAATGAAATTAGTTAGACGAAAATCGGGATCAGATATGAACCGGAAGGACCGGAAGTTCACCGATTAACTATGTATGAACTTTCAGTCTGAATCTGAAGTCACGTTATTTTTTAAATTTAAAATATAATTTAAAATTGTAGTGTAGTTTTTACTCTAAAAATATTTTTAATATTAATTTGTGAAAAATTTTATTAATGTCTGAAAAAGCTTCATTAATATTGTTATTATTATTTTAAAAAAATATCTAAAATGTTAATGTAAAAATTAGTTTTAATTATCGCTTTTTTATGTTTAATCGTTAGTTTTTTTTATATTTTATATTTGTTTATTAAAAAAAAGGGGGACGAGGTCTAGATTTAAAAAAGTGCCATCGACCACATCATAAAAACTGATAGCTATAATAAACAACAATAAAAAAACATGGACTTTAATTACAGATACCCATTAACCTTAATAAATTAATGTAAAGCAAAGTACACATTATTTTTTTTAATAAAGTAATAAATTTCACTTAAGCTAATAGAACAAAAAAGTTGATTATTATTCATAATAATTATGTAATTTTTAAAATAAATGAAATCTGTATCAGGATTCATGAAATTTGACTAAATATATTGCTAGATATGTAAAGCAATATTACTTAACTTAATCAGAAATTAGTGTCTTATCTTCCTGAAGTTTAAAAAATTAAAATGTAGGCCTATATGTTTTTGTATATTCATAAATAAAAGAACTATCTAATCACGCGCAAATTCTATTTACTTCAACTACTAAAATAAATTTACTTTTACAGAATATCTTTGTTTTATAAAATTGTTATTCGAAAAAAATGAAACAATTTTCAGTCCTTTCTAGCATCTCTTCCTCTGTGTGCGCCTTTGCTTCCACTCAAACATTTTATATCAGCGTGAGAAACCAAATTAGATTTATACATGTGATAATATAATATATAAAGGAATATATTTATAAATAATTATAAAAATTGCTTTAAATTTAAAAATTAATTTATAAAACTTTTACAAGGCTGATCAGCTGTCGTTATATTGAACTAGAAATTTGAATTATTTTTAAATTAACATATTTGAAATATAAAAATAAAGTTTCATAAGTATGTAGAAACGTCAATTAAAAAATATTTTATTATTATTATTTTATCTTTATTCTTGGATCAGTAGTTAAATACAAGGAAATTACGTTTAAACGTTTATCTCGATTGTATTAATTGTCTCGACTTCTAGTGTTCAAAACCCCTATTCTAAGTATGCCTGGATTTTAGACTGAAATATGCTGGTCTCCAAGAAAACGTTAAACGAACTATTTACTTTAAAATTGTATAAAAATTAATTAATTAACTAAGTAATAACAAAATATTACATAAGTTAAAGATGACTAATTTGAATTTGCATCATACCAAATATACATTAAATTAATGTTTTGCTTTTGAGAAATTTTCAAGTTTTTAAATAAAGTACCGGACATCCTTTTTGCTGTTAATTAGTTACGAAATAATCTTAATTTGGTTCGTATCATAATAAAGAAAAAATTTTTATTTTCTAATGTTTAGAGATACGTTTCCAGAACTGCATACATTTTTATTTTAAATACAAATAAAAATCTAATTTTCTAATTAAAATTTTTAATTTAACTACATAATGCGCATTTATGTTTATTTTTAATTAAAGAAATCATGTTTAAACCTTAATTCTTTAAAAAAACAGAGATATGGAGACCTACAACACTTAAAGTGATGACAATTGTTTATATCTTACCCCACTCATCCTAATTTTTTTATTAGTTTTTTTTACTATATCGCTGACCACTATAAAAAATTATTATTATTTTTTTTAATATAAATAAACTTTCTCTAAATAAATATATAGGCCTATTTATACATTGAGTTCATATAAAGAAAAATACGATAAAAACATTATTAAATGTATAAATAGGTTCAAGGTTATTTGAACAAAAGTAAATAAATTCAACGCAATTAAGCAATCGTTGAAATTTCCTTTCATTAAACCTCATTTCCTCAATATTTTATAACCTGTTTTTGATCAATAAAGTTTCATATATAAAGGCTGCTGTTTCATTAACAGAATCATTCTAAACAAGCTTAATATCTTGAAAAGTTTGTATCTAGTTTCATCTTCACTCGTCAATAATGAAGACAATGCTCATTGCTTTTCTTCTGGGACTCTTCGTCTCCAATGTAGTTTCTAATCGTCCAGAATTATGTGGTAAGATTTTATTTAATACCTTTATTTAAGATTTTACATCAATTTTTTAATGTATTGTTATATATTTAAGGTTTCTCTACTGAAGCTCAAAATACTTATTGGGATTGTGTCGAATCAAAAATGACTGAGGACCAAATTAAAACAGTAAATGCTATATTAAATTATTTTAGTTTCTTTAGAGTATAATAACAATAACATTAATGTTTTTTACTTTTTTCAGACTTCATCTTTTCTCACTTGCGTTAACAAGGATTCAGCAGTAGAGCTCATTAATTACTTTTGTAACATGAATCCCGATGAGGTAACTTCTCTTAATGTTTTATAATAAAGAGAGTAGATTAATTTACTGTTTTTAATGTAATATAATATGAAAATTGGAGTTAAAATTTAATATTATAATTATAACATGACATATTAAATATATACATTTTTACTAGCCGGATCTCTTCCAACCAATTTTCTCTAGATGCTTGAAATTATTTCCAGCTAGCTTTGTAAGTATATACTCTTGAATATTAAAACAATGTAAACATTTTAAACTTAATTAATAATACATTTATTTCTTTCAGAACACTGCAGATGAAGAGTGCTTGACAAAAGCATCCCAATAAATCCATCAATAAAAAATAAAGTAATTACTTTAAAAATTATTTTTTAAAATTATATTTATTAAAAGACGTTTATAAAATTTTATATTTTTTTATATTCCAGATTTTTCTGCATTTAACTCGCTTCAAGTTTATTAATTGAAGATAATCATTTATTACTATTTTTATTCTTCTTTAAATAATTGAATATAATTCTTATGTATTTTAAATTCATTCCAATGAATATAGAAAAATAAAGTTATGTATCTTATAATATTTTCTTAATAATTATTTGACTTTTAAAAATATTTATAAAGAATTGCGGATTTTATTAAATATAGAAATATTCATAATAATACACGTAATTTCGTGTACTTAAATATAGAATTTTAAATAACATTAAAGTAGTATCTAAACAGTCGAATAGTGACTCCATGCCGTTCAATTAAATTAATTAAAAATCCAATAATTTAGCTCGTTATGCCCAATTAATATGAAGTGGTTCCTTATTCACAATAACTTTTATCGCCAATTAATCCTTATTCCCAATTAATATTAAATAGGAAATATGAAAATTGGAATAGGATATGCTGAAAACGTTTCGATAAAATAAAATAATTGGCTCCTTAATTGGAGGCGATTAGAATAATATTTTAAATTAAATTTAAAAAGGAATAAATCTTTGGAAGATTTATTATAAATACAATTTTTAATATTATAATCATTCTAAATTTTGTATACATTCAATTTGTTTATGAAGTTAATTTAAAAAGATGAAAAACCGTAAATTATTGACAATACAATAAATTTTAATGAATCTATAGGCCCAGAAACACTTATGTTTATAAAATTTANTTAAATAAAGTACCGGACATCCTTTTTGCTGTTAATTAGTTACGAAATAATCTTAATTTGGCTCGTATCATAATAAAGAAAAAATTTTTATTTTCTAATGTTTAGAGATACGTTTCCAGAACTGCATACATTTTTATTTTAAATACAAATAAAAATCTAATTTTCTAATTAAAATTTTTAATTTAACTACATAATGCGCATTTATGTTTATTTTTAATTAAAGAAATCATGTTTAAACCTTAATTCTTTAAAAAAACAGAGATATGGAGACCTACAACACTTAAAGTGATGACAATTGTTTATATCTTACCCCACTCATCCTAATTTTTTTATTAGTTTTTTTTACTATATCGCTGACCACTATAAAAAATTATTATTATTTTTTTTTAATATAAATAAACTTTCTCTAAATAAATATATAGGCCTATTTATACATTGAGTTCATATAAAGAAAAATATGATAAAAACATTATTAAATGTATAAATAGGTTCAAGGTTATTTGAACAAAAGTAAATAAATTCAACGCAATTAAGCAATCGTTGAAATTTCCTTTCATTAAACCTCATTTCCTCAATATTTTATAACCTGTTTTTGATCAATAAAGTTTCATATATAAAGGCTGCTGTTTCATTAACAGAACCATTCTAAACAAGCTTAATATCTTGAAAAGTTTGTATCTAGTTTCATCTTCACTCGTCAATAATGAAGACAATGCTCATTGCTTTTCTTCTGGGACTCTTCGTCTCCAATGTAGTTTCTAATCGTCCAGAATTATGTGGTAAGATTTTATTTAATACCTTTATTTAAGATTTTACATCAATTTTTTTAATGTATTGTTATATATTTAAGGTTTCTCTACTGAAGCTCAAAATACTTATTGGGATTGTGTCGAATCAAAAATGACTGAGGACCAAATTAAAACAGTAAATGCTATATTAAATTATTTTAGTTTCTTTAGAGTATAATAACAATAACATTAATGTTTTTTACTTTTTTCAGACTTCATCTTTTCTCACTTGCGTTAACAAGGATTCAGCAGTAGAGCTCATTAATTACTTTTGTAACATGAATCCCGATGAGGTAACTTCTCTTAATGTTTTATAATAAAGAGAGTAGATTAATTTACTGTTTTTAATGTAATATAGTATGAAAATTGGAGTTAAAATTTAATATTATAATTATAACATGATATATTAAATATATACATTTTTACTAGCCGGATCTCTTCCAACCAATTTTCTCTAGATGCTTGAAATTATTTCCAGCTAGCTTTGTAAGTATATACTCTTGAATATTAAAACAATGTAAACATTTTAAACTTAATTAATAATACATTTATTTCTTTCAGAACACTGCAGATGAAGAGTGCTTGACAAAAGCATCCCAATAAATCCATCAATAAAAAATAAAGTAATTACTTTAAAAATTATTTTTTAAAATTATATTTATTAAAAGACGTTTATAAAATTTTATATTTTTTTATATTCCAGATTTTTCTGCATTTAACTCGCTTCAAGTTTATTAATTGAAGATAATCATTTATTACTATTTTTATTCTTCTTTAAATAATTGAATATAATTCTTATGTATTTTAAATTCATTCCAATGAATATAGAAAAATAAAGTTATGTATCTTATAATATTTTCTTAATAATTATTTGACTTTTAAAAATATTTATAAAGAATTGCGGATTTTATTAAATATAGAAATATTCATAATAATACACGTAATTTCGTGTACTTAAATATAGAATTTTAAATAACATTAAAGTAGTATCTAAACAGTCGAATAGTGACTCCATGCCGTTCAATTAAATTAATTAAAAATCCAATAATTTAGCTCGTTATGCCCAATTAATATGAAGTGGTTCCTTATTCACAATAACTTTTATCGCCAATTAATCCTTATTCCCAATTAATATTAAATAGGAAATATGAAAATTGGAATAGGATATGCTGAAAACGTTTCGATAAAATAAAATAATTGGCTCCTTAATTGGAGGCGATTAGAATAATATTTTAAATTAAATTTAAAAAGGAATAAATCTTTGGAAGATTTATTATAAATACAATTTTTAATATTATAATCATTCTAAATTTTGTATACATTCAATTTGTTTATGAAGTTAATTTAAAAAGATGAAAAACCGTAAATTATTGACAATACAATAAATTTTAATGAATCTATAGGCCCAGAAACACTTATGTTTACAGTATTTAATACTAAAATTCGATGTTTTGTATCATATTTAAATGAGCATTTAGACACTTAATGCGAGAAGAAATTTCTATATAAGTCTAACCATTAAGTGATTTCACTTTTATGTAAAATTGGACTTATAATTTATATAAATGGCATTTTATTAGCTATAAAAATATAAAATAATTTGTATTTGTTTTGTAAACTGTATAAAATTTCCAGTTGAATAAAGAGATGAATAACATTTCATTACTTTATATAATATTGCTTTGTTCTCTTCTGTATGAAGTATTAAATTCAATATTATATAACGAATTCTCCCTTTAACTGAAAATTCTATTATGGATTGTAACCCCTTTGGTTGTGCACACGATCTCCAACAGATGGCGATAAAAATTTAATTTTTTATTTCACTAATTTACGATTCATAATTCTAAATTAATTTTATATCTTAATTTAAGTATATTTTATAATATATCATCTACTTACTGAATAATAAATTCAGTAAACGATCTGAATCGACTTATAACTTTTTAGTGTCGCCACCTAGCGACAAACATAATAACTTTCTGATAATTATTATTTATTATTAAATTATTAAAAATTCTGATAAATATAAAATTAATATCTGTTATTAAAAGTTTGTTATATTATATTAATTTTTTTGATGTTAATTAGTTAAAAATATAATTAATAAAAATTTGTTTTGCAAAGTACTGTATTTTAAGATATGTTTTTTTATACCTAACAGTTGGATTCTGTTGGTAAATTAGTTTACTGAAATTATTGAAATTGGGCTGCAATTTGAAAATAATTCCAGATCTATAAATTCTTACTGTCGTCCGTCCGTCCGTCTGTTCTTATGTACTTGTATGTACAGTACTTGACAGTACATAGTAAATAAAAATGAATGAATGAATGAATGAAACGTCTGTTCTTATGTAATCTCGAGAATAGACTTAGATGTAATCTCGTACGTCTAGAATGAAATTTCTAGTTCGTTTTCAATGAAAAAATAAATCATTCTTAAGAGGGATGTTTAGTCACTCAATAGATCTCATTATCTTTAGTATATTTCAGAGCCTAACTCGCTCCCTAGTCCTTATAATGTATAAGCTTTTATCTATAAAATTCAGACGACTTTATTTAGCAAAAGTTTAATTTTATTAATTTAATAGATTATAGAGCATCATTTAAGTAAATTACAACAAGGTATATAAAAGGGGGTTACTATACTTCATGTCTATTATTTTTCTGTTCGAAGGATCATCATAAAATCGAAATTTTTTATTCATCTTTATACGGACACGAAACACGAGAACATTAGATTTTCGAATACATATTACTCTTAACATAAATGTATATGCAAGGAATGTTCCGCGATAATGCGTTTCTTCAGCGACAAAGAGGCGGGAAAATCACGAAATTTCATGAAAAATCCAAACGTTTTACATTAAATTTCGTGGCGACACAACAATAAAACTCTGACAATTTGTTGCGAACGGTTGGATTTTTAGTTCGTGTGATTAAAAGTGAATAATTTCAAGCGTTTTTCTGTGTTTGCATTATTTGCAAACATTTTATCGGTAAGTTCAGAACAAGAACTTTCTAAATGTAAACATTTTTGAACATTGTTAAGCCTAATATCGCAATTAGTGGCAATGATTTTCCGACAAAGCTCTATTTAGGTGATAACAGTTGATCGATTTCGTCACAGAGACGAAGAATGGGGTCTTTCCACTTATTCTGAAAGAAAGTTTTAGTTCATTTTATTGTTAATTTTCGTTCAGTCCAAATCCAATCGAATTGTTAAAGCAAAATAGGAATTAATAAGTATATTAAATTGTTATTTTCTGCTATGGTTTATATACACATTATATCCCGTATGAAATACACACCGCTATACTCTATACCTTAATTAATGAGAATTTCTCTATTTTCACAAATATTTTGTCTTATGGCAATCGACAGAACTGTATAATTTGTATAAACTGATTTTTTAAATTATATATCGAACATTAAAACTCATTGAAAAGATTAAAATTACTATATTTAATAATTAAAGATTTTATCGTAATGTTGATTTCTGACATTTTTATTATAATTAAAACGATCATTTTCTACAATCTTCTATCACAAATCTTTATTGCATTTTAAAATTTATATAGTTTTTACTTACAATTTAAAAGACA